AGATATGGGGAAAAACGGAGTAACAACAAATACATTGACATGGGTTAGTTTCCGAGGGCTGCAAAGTATCCCAGACACAGGGTGAAAAGCCATAGGAACGTCTCTCATCGAAGCCTGAGTGGTTCCATTGAAGTGCTGAGGGAGAACCCATTCCCTGCCTCCCAGCTCCTGCTGACAACCAGTAGTTTGTGGTTTTGTGTGAGTTATAAAGACATTACTCCAAGTTTTACTTCACGTGGCTTCTGTGCCCCAGTGCAGTGTCAGCTCATTGCAATTATATATCCAAATAAGGCTGCATTCCAAGTTACTAGAGATTAGGATTTTACATATATTGGAGCTGTAGGGCAGGGACATACAGTTTAGCCCATACCACCAAGAATATGTCAGAGCATTTCAAACCCTTTATTCACCAGAGCATCTCATTCTTCAGCCTTTCCAAAGGATTTGGTTAGTCTGTTCTTTGCTCCAGCTGTTAGCCATCATTCCAGGTAGCTGTGATTGACACACTGTCTTTAACTCGTCATCTGAAGCCCCTGGGCGGCTGCCTGAGAACTGACAAAGCTCCTTCTTGGAAAAGCTAGAGGAGACCCTTCAAGGCTGTGCTCCAGCCAGCTGCCAGCTGAGGGGCTGTGGAGAAGACTGCTCCACACTTGTTGAAACCCTAACCCTCACTGACCTTTTATTGCACGGGGATAAGAAGACCAAGTCGAGTCGTAAGGATGGGGCTTTAATCCCAGAAGTTTGGTGGCTTTATTAGAGGAACAGGAATCACCAGCATGTGTTTTTCTCTTCCATGTGAGAGGCAATCGGGCTAATGCACCGCTCAGAACCACCAGAAACCTGAGTGGGGCACTGTCGCTGCACCAGCTGTCAAGGCCACCACTGGGGAGTGGGGACATGGGACCAGGGTGAGTTAACACCACGGAGTTCCTGGGTTTTCAGCTCAGTTTTGATTGACGTCCTGCTTGCTGAAAGTCATTTCCTAGTCCTTAGAATTTCATAAAAGGTGTTCTGGGCAGTTTTTACAGTTTAGTTGTCATTTTGGAGGGAAGGACTTTTGGTGTCTTTACCCTCCGTTTTCACAGACCTCACCTCCAGTTGACAATGCTGTGTTGACATAGCTCCCTTCTGTTACAGTCTCCCGCTGGTTCATGACTGCTCCCAACTGGGGCACCACAGAGATGAAGCCTTATGACTTCTCAGGCTTGCATAGGACCCTAGAGCTCTCTTTTGAAGAGGTAGGGCCGGGCCCTTCTCTGGTGAAGCCAGCCAGCCCCATATGGAGAGGAGCAGAGGTGTGAGCTGATAGCCAGCCCTGCCTTCCAAACACAGCAAACTCCTCTCCCGAGGCTTCAGCCTCCACCTTCCATGCAGACCCAGGCCTGCCACGCCATCAGCACCTGACCTACGGGATCTGAGGGTATGCAAATGGAACTTTTATCCTGCTGAAGTTCATGGTAGTTTGTTGAGCAGCTGCAGAACTAGAATAGATCTCAGTCAGTGGCTCGGGCTTTTTGTCACTTTTGGTACCTTCAGGCCTCTCAGCCGCCTTTGCCTCAGCCTGCAGCCAGGAACCTGCAGAGCGCTGTCCCAGTGTTCCCCCCTCCAGTGCTGACATGTTTTCCTGCACTGGTGGGTGTTCTCATCTTCCCAGCCATTCAGGCTTGAAACCTCAGAAGGTCTGACTCTTCCTTCCCCTCAGAGGCAACTAAACAATTGTCTTTCTCACAGCACCTGTTCTTTTATTTTTCTGCAGTACCAGGGGTTTAGCTGGAGTTAGCATTCACATTGAGTTACACCCTCAGCCCTTTGTATTTCATATTTTCATTTTTAGACAGGGGTCTTGTTGCATTGTCTAGGCTTGGCTTGTGCCTCTCATTTTTTTCCTCCTATCCTAACAACATGTGCATGAAGCTGCAGGAGTTCATTATAACCTCCAGGGAGACACTGCCAGCAATAGGCAGGGTGCCTTCAAGTGTCACACAAGTAAGAGGGTAGTGGTTAGCATGCCTGTAATCTCCGTTGTCAATAGGCTGAGGCTCTCTCTTTACACTGTGGAGACCTTGTCTCAAAACAAAAAATTAAAAATTTTATAAAGGGCAGTGTTTAAAACCTTCTGAGGGCAAGTAATGATACCATTTACAATTATAATATGGCAGTCCAGGGTCTTTCTAGAAAGCTCACCTACTAGGACAACACAAAAGCAAGCTGCTGCTGGCCTGGAGCACTTTAGTAACAGAATCCACTCTGATCCTGGGTTTAATCAAAGCCTTCCCTGAGCTCCCCTTCTCTCCCTGGCTACAAATCTAAATTTGGTTTGCAGCAGTCTTGAGGCATTAGATGTAAATCCCTTGTTCTGTTCTCTGCAGGAATATCCATTAAGCACATCATGTGCTTTTCTTAATCCCTACCCACACAGCATTTGCAGAGGGAGTTTGGGGGGCGGTGGTTACACTTTAAACATTGGAGCAAAACCTACAGGGTCAGCTCAACTTCTTGTCTTACAAATATGTCTCAGTATATGGTTTTAAAGCTACAGAGAGGAAATCAGGTACTGACAATTTACGTGAGGATATTTCAGATCCTATTTAAAACTTGGGCATTTGACAGGAACCAGTTGTTGCAAACATCATAAAAAAATAACACTTTTTTCTACAGTTTCTACCTCAGGACTGAAAGTTGTTTGCTTGGACAAACAGGAAGGCATTTGAAATAATATCTATAATTGCTGAAATGTTAGCATTGGTTCCTGGATGCCTTGAACACCGAGTTGCTCAAATCAGGCAATGAAGGTGTATAACCATCTTAACGGTGTATGCATGCCTATGTGACAGCTATCAGTCGTTCATTTATTTTAGGTTGAGCACCTGACTACGAGTCAGGTACTGTTCCAGTGCCAGGTAATGGTAGGCAGAAATCCTTGCCCTTCTGGAATTTTTATTTTCATGCTGGAGAGAGCCAGATAACTAAGCAAAACACAAGCTCAAGGGTTATGCATGTTAGAATTTTAACTAATCACAGGATCATTTCTTAAAAATGCTCTATAAAGCTAGAGAGAGGGAAGATAGTGCTGAGGTGGGCTTGAAATCTAAGGGTTCAAGGGCCTCTGAGAGGGTAACATTCAAGAAAGTGAAGAAGGTGAGATTTTAAAGATCTGAAGGAATGCCGTCCCCAACAGAGAGGCCCCAAAGGCCAGAGTACACTGGCTCTTGGAGAACATGCAGGGTCTAGGATGGAGAGAAGAGGGGTGACCAGGCAGGTCTCGTTGAGCTTTTGGGAGGTTTAGTGATTTGTGTGCTCCAGTGGAGTTCTGGGGAAGCCATTGGAAGGTTTCTAGCAAAAGAGTGATGGTCGTTTGACAGCTCATGAGAACAGGCTGGAAGAAAATTATTTTTGTAGGTTACACAAATCCAGGAGAGATAGTGGCGGCACGGACCAGGTGGTGGCAGCAGCCAGCCAGAGTAGCGAGGTGGAGCACACAGGATTTATGACAGATGTGGGGTGTGAGAGAGTGAAGACCAAAGCCATCCCATGGGTGTGAGCGGGTGAAAAGTGAGGGTCCCTAACTTAGGGAGACGGGAAGGGATGACTTCACAGGCAAGGACCAGCCCTGGAGCTCTTGAGCACGCGGGACTGGCTCTGGGATTGGAGGCCTGGCCTGGAGAACCCGAGAAAGGGCAGCACTGGCAGCTCAGGTATTAGGACAGCCAGTGTAGACAGATGGTAGGAACAGTGCCGGCGACGGAGCCCTGAGGTTCTCCAGGGTTGGAATCTCAGAGGGGAGGTGACCCAGCAGGGGAAATAGGAAGGATGACATAGTGGGAGCACATTAAAAGGGCGAGGTGTCCTGGAAGCTGTGTGGAGAAGACGCTTCAGGCCAAGCGGGAGAGGGCGGCAGATGGAGGTGCTGGGTGGAGATGAGCGAAGGAAAGCACTAAATCCTAGTTTGGTTAGTTTAATCTTGGCACAGCAAAACCCAGCCTCTGACACAAATAAACAGTACGTTCCAGGCTCCATGTATAACCAGCAACATCACAAAATTCAGGAAATGAAACTTGTTCTTTTCCAAACAAGGGATAAAGAAAACTCAACAGTGACACAGACTGTAAGTGCACCTCTCTGTCAGTTTTCTATTGAATAAAAAACTACTAAATCTTTAATATATTAACATGAGTTTTAAAATATTTCTCTCTGGCCAGTAGGAGACCATCTCTTCTTCAAGGGCCTGGGCTCGAGACCCCCAGAAACATGGTCTGGCATTGCAGGTCTCAGCTCCATGTGGGCTTGTGACCTAGGTCTTTATTTATATGTGTGTGTCATAGTTCAAACATCTATTTGGTCTTGGTCCTAGCTTCCGGGCACAGACCCCCTAAAGCCCTTCGAGGGACTGAGTGATAGAAGTGGCCTCTGAATCCCACTAGAGTGTGCCAATGTGGTGACTCAGGTGGGGCCTCCTGGAGAACCTCAGGATGTGACCTGTCAACCCAGAACCTGAATTTGGAGCTCCCACCCACCAAGCCCTGGCATCTGGACACGGCAATCTGCAACGTAAAGATGGAATGTGGACCTCGGAAGAGCTTCCAGGCAATACACACTCAGAGACAAGAAGTTGTGGTGTCTGAGAGGGCACAGCAGCACCTCACTCCCCTTTTCCTTGCCCTGTGCACCTCCTTCATTTGGCTGTTCCTGAGTTGTATCCTTTATAATAAACCAGCAAATGTAAATAAAGATTTTTTTTTTTTTTTTTTTTAGTTCCGCAAGTTACTAGCAGATTTCTAGCCAGGTTGCACAGAAGTAAGGGCAAGCTTGGGGATGGCATCAGAAACAATAGTGGTCTTGTGTGACTGAAACCTTTGAAGCTGGATACGAACCCGGGGTCGAAAGAGGATACCAATGTGCTGGCCGGGGAGTAACACTGACCTGTTACTCAGCGGAACTCCCGAGTTCACACCCGCTTTAGTACCAGAGAACAGTCAGTGTAAGAGACAAGGAAATCGAAATTCTGCATAAAAGAGTTTTATTTAGTGGCCAGATCCCAGTGGATAACGTTAGCCATTGCTCGATTCTGCTAAAATGTGCTATTCGATTGACTCTTAAGAAAGTGTACAAGTGCATCACCAAAGCGGCTTAATTTCAATTGTGTAAAATAAAACTCCTTGTAACTTCGTCCTTTGATAAAATTTTTAAAATATAAAAATGAAAAAAAAAAAAAAAGAAACCCAAAAGCAGTATTCAAAACTAATAAATGTCACATTGGACTATTTACAGTAAGATGCCTCTTTACTAGGCGAACGTTCTCCAAACAAGCCTTTCCTCTTTTACTTCCCCGCTACAGGTAAGTACTCAGTCCTCACCTCATCCTTTTCAAGACTTCTTGCCATCCTGTCTCACGTGAAACAGCTGTCTGTTTGCACACTCACCTTTCAGTCTCTCGGATACTTTTGCCCACACTCAGAAATGACAGGTAAATTCTCAGCAGATGTGTACTGAGCACCTAAGACGTGCCAGGCACTGTGCTAGGCAGAAGTGAGGAGGAGGTCACAATCGACCCCTCAGGAAGTGCAGGCTCTGGGATGAATTTGAAAAACAGTGTTTTTCACATCGCAGTCCATGCAGTCCCAGGCCCCCCAGGCAGCACGTTTAGGGATTTCTCAAAACAGTGCGTTTGGGGGGAAGTGGTCTGTCACTTGGCCCACAGTGACACACGTGTGGAATGTGAGGTTTGGCTCTGTGATGCACGGCCTGAGACACCTGGCCACACAGCTGCAGTTCTGAACTCCGAGAGTGGGGACCACTCCTTGGGTTGTAGGGGCCCAGTCATACCAATATGGTTCGGAGGGGAAAATAATCTTTTAATTTGTAAATTCCAAGTTTGAAAAGCCCTTAGTCCCAACACTGTCAGATTGAAGGAACAGCTACATGTTAAGAAAGTCTCCTCAGATTTCACCTGGAGCGAGATGCTCTGAAATGTGTGTGTGTGTGTGTGTGTGTGTGTGTGTGTGCGCGCGCGTGTGTGGTGCTGGGGTGGAACCAGGCCTCACACATGCTCGGCAAACACCAGCAGCACCTCCAGCCCTAAATCCCTACCTGTAGAAGGGCCCAGCAGGAGCCCCTTCTCCATCCCCATGGGTTCTAACTTCTTCATATTTCTCTGTGAACTTTTTTTAGTTTTAAACATCAAACCGGCAGGTAACCTTTTTTGTTTTTTCATGTTTCAACCCAGAGCAAGCTCAGTTCTTGCCTTTGGTCCCTTCTTTGGCCATGAGCTCTAGAGAGACCTATGATAGTTCCTTTTTTTAAAAAAAGGTAAACCATGAACTATAAAACAAAAACTGTACATGACTTACTGTGGAAGTTAAACCCCTCCCTCGGTGCCCACATCTGTGCCAGGCCAAGTGGACTGTGTCCCTGTGAATGCTCACATCTGCAGGTCTTTCCCAGGCACAGCGGTTCATGTCCCCACCATGGCTGCGCCTTCCCTCACACACGCCGTTTCAGGTCCCTTTCACTGGGCCACAGAGCCAACCACCGAGTGATGCAGAGGACAACATTCGTGGGAAAGTTTGTCCGTGCCTTCTTTCAGACCATACAGGGTCAACTCTCTACCCAGCATCCAGGCAGGCAGATGACATTGATTAGCCACTCAAGGACTGTTACAGTGTCCTCATGTGTTCGTTCCAAGCCCTTTGGTCCTGAAGGCAACTTAGGGAGTCGGCACCACCCCATGTCACATGTCTGGCCCACTTACTCCATGGGAGGGAGGTCACCACGAGACACGGAGGAACGTGGGAAGAACGAGGCGTCCTGGGATGGGCAGGAGACAGAGGTGACCATGCACAGGCTTCTGGCTCTTTCGTGCATATATTTTCAGTGTAACAGCATGTATTTCGACACACAAGGGCTTGTGCTTTTCATTAAAGAACAACTCGCCTCACAGAGCTCATTTGGCAAACAAGGCCATGAATGTGTTACGTGTGCATGTGTGGAGTGTGTTGTGAGGCTACGTGTCACTTCCTGTGAGTGTGCCCTCCTGCCCCTCCCCCGCCACCACACCCACCTCACCAGCAAGGACAGACTGATGGGTTACACCTGGTCGGTCTGATATTCAGAGGCTTCGGACAGACTTTCCGAGAAGCTCAGGAAATTCTCCTGGTACTCAGAACATACGATCTCGTAGCGGTAGTGGCGGAACTCCACGGCGAAGGTGCCAAAGTATGACAGGAAGCACATGACCAGGCCCCACTGCACCCGGGCTGCGTACATGTGGATGTCCTGGGCCATGAGGATGAAGTCTGAGAGGTGGTCAAGGAAGGGACGCGCATCGGTCATAGGCAGTGAGCCGCCCCCTCACTAGAAAAACGGGGCCCTTCACAGCACCGACAGTCCTGTAAATGACACCAGATGGCAATACGGAGCCCTAGGTGCCAGCCCTGCTCCTAGGTGCTTTCAGGAACAATCCTTCTGAATCCGCCCAGCTATCCTTTCCTCAATAGTTGTATAAAATAGCAAAACCCAGGCCAAGGCGGCATCTTGCCTGTGGTCACTTACACACATTAGCACCAGGTCAAGCGGGGTTTACCTCCTGGCCAGGCCTTGCATTCAGCCACTTTGCTTTGACACTGCAGCAGCTTGTCTAGCAAAGGATCACGACTCCAAAGCAACTAAAGCTAGCTCTTTCACTGCAGATGACAACAGATTCCAGTTACAGCTGCAGAAACATACTGAACAGGTGAAACTGCCACCTCCATATGAGCTGCATTTGACAGCAGTGCTGCAAATAGTATCCACGTGGTCCCCTTTCCTCTTTTTAACTGTCTTTTTTTTTGGCCTGGCAACACTATATAGGTTTGTTTCATTTCTGGTATCACATTAACAACTGAGCTCCAATAAAAACGTGCAATCAAAATAACAATAAAGCAACAGATGAAAGTCCTGTTTCTAAATATGCATATGTGTATTTGTGTGCATGCAAGAACAGGTACACACAATGGCGTGTATGGAGGAAAAGGAGCTGGGCAAAGGAGCAAAATTCATAGCATGCTTTTTGGTTTTTCTTTTTCTTTGAGACAGGGTCTCCTTATGCACTTCAGGCTAGCCTTCAACTCACTGTGGAGCCCTGGCTGGCCTTTAACTTGGAATGATCCACCTGCCTCAGCCTCCCAAGAGCTGGGATTAAAGGCTTAGACGCCACAGCTGGTCCGTAGCACGTTTCAGTGAAAGGCCAAGAGGCTGAGCACTAAATACATCTAGAATTAGTTCTGTCTGCAGAATTTAGACATAAAATATTGGGAGGGGTTTTTTTGTTTTTGTTTTTTTTTTTTTTTTTGAGTAACGGTCCCATTGGATAGTCCATGCTGCCTTTGAACTCATGGCAATCCTCCTGTTTCAGCCTTCTGAGTGTTGAGATTGTAGGCATGTGTCACAAGGTCAGCCATGTGGGAAGTTGTTCAGAGGTGAAACTACTTGTATCAAACTTTGCTGTCTGAATCCATTCACTTGGGGACCATGAAATGGTTCCAAGTGTTTCCTGCCATGGGGATCAGAATTGTTCAGTGTAATTTTAAAACTCAGAGTAACTGAAAGTTCAGTCTGTGTATATTCTTCTTTTGTGTGTGTGTGTGTATTCTTCTGATGGAGGGTTCAAAATATTGCCAAAGCAGTTGGTTTACTACTGGCAGGTTCAACTTTTCCCATCATAAAGTATTTTAACAATTGCTAGAAAGAAATTTTTTGGCATAAATTTTGTCCTTAAATGTTCTCTATATAGCATGACTGCAGAGCTTTAAGGAAAACAGTAAAACTGTTGAGTAGCAGTTAGGAAAGAACAAATAAAAGACCTCAAACACTCCACTAACAAGACATTTTTGAAAGCTCAGGGTTTTCGTATTTTAAGGTCACTTTCTTGGGGGCAGGAGATAGCACAGTGGCTGAGTGCCAGAGCTGAGCCCGTGTTTAAGTCTTGACCTGTTATATACTATCTGAGCAAATTAACATGTCTGTGAGTCCCTGTTCTTACATGTTAGGTGAGGATTAAAAGAGTTGATGCATTGAAAGCACTTGGAAATAATGCCTTCCACATGGCAATTACCCACAACACACTTGATGATTATAGTGCTTGAAATGTGAGTCTAGTGTGGTGGTGTACAACTGTAATCCTAGTAAACTTGGGAGGCTGAGGCAAGAGGATTCCAACTTGGAGGCCAGCCTGGGCTCTACTGCAAGTTCAAGGCCAGCTGGGACTACATATTAAGACCCTGTGGGCAATACAACATGCCTAACCTTTCAAGGATTCACCTGGGCTTCAGTGGAGTGAAGCACCCTAGCCTTTTCCTGATTTCTTTGCAGTTACTGGGCTAGATCAATTCCATGATGAGGCCTGCAGAACTCTTGACAAGTTTATGAGCAGTGGAGACTGATTTCTTTATCCCTATCTGGCCACGTCTGTTCTTGATTCAAACTCTGAGTGGAGGACGGCAAATGGATAGTACTCCCAAACCTCCTATATTTGTCTCAGAAAACGATATGCTGTGATAAGCCAGTTCTTGAATTTGTTTTCCAGAAAAACTTGTTTTTCTGGATGACATATGATAGGTTCTGCTAGCCTGGGCTTTAGATACATCCTCCCAACTTGGTACCAGACTCACAGAAATAACTTCTCTCTCCAAGAGTAACTTCTATGTTCTCCTTTGCATCCCAGAGATAAATCTCCGCTCACTTTTTGTGAATGCACCAGACCCTTTCCAATCCCGAGACTCCACAACCACCCAAGCCTCCACCTCTAGCCCTCAGTAAATCTTTCTGTCTCCTGTTTTACACAGGCAGATGCTCCTTCAAATCAGTGGGTAATATGTCATTTTGCCCACCTCTCAAACTCCTCCACCAGCCAAAACTGATAAAAGTAGTCCCACTTCTTTGTTCTCATTTGAGAGTCTCTGTGCCCCCTGCCCTGAGAAGCTCTCCCATCCCACATTGCAGACCTCCTCCTTTGTCTTATCTTATTTTCTCTGCACTGCTTCAGACTGAGTGACCAAAATAATCAATATAAACATCTTTGTCCCTTGAAATTCATTTCAAAGGTTAAAAAAAATTAAATGACATAACAAGACTTAATAAAATCACAATTGAATTTTTTTAAGATGGAAAAAAATCACAATTCTCTTTTGGTTATGTACCCTGTGTTTTTCACAATTGGAAACTTATATTATTAGTGATAGGAGATTCCATGGCACCATTTCTAAAAGCAAGAACAGTTTTGAAAAGACAGAATTTGTATTAGTTTTAGTTCTCCATCTCTCCTTGGTATAAAAGGTCTGAGAGTTTTTTTTTTTTTTTAATGTTCTTACTTTTCCAATTTGTCTAAGATTTGGAGACGATCTGACTGTTCTCTTAACTCACTGAGAATGGCAAGTGTCCCATCTTCTACACAGACAGCTTATCTGTGTTTTAATATACCCTGGGGAAGAACCTTTTCCCAGTAAAGGATACAGAGGACAACACAGAGAGTGATTGATGCAGACAGAATCACCCGTGGGATTCCAACTTTCCGTCCTTCATTCTTGATGTTGACTTTGAGTGTGAGGGCAGCCTGGATCCAGCAAGTCAACGTGCCAAATCCAAAGGTCAAAGATGTTCCCACGTTGTGGATTTCTTCATCATTCGCAAGCTGGGGATGAACAGAAAATGGCATTTGAAACCCACTGAAAAAAGAAGATACACAAGCTGACAGTATATGTGAGGGGGAGAGATCAGTTATGGAATGACAGACCTTGGCAAGATCAGAGTCCTCCATCTCCCTTGGTGCTTTGTGTCTATCCCCAAAGGGTCTGAAGTCCCAAGGAGGAAGGGAAATTACTAGAACACTGGACTTTATAACACACAGCCAAGCCAGGCAGGCTTGGTGATCCTGCCCTTGAGTTTATTTCTCAGAAATAAACAAGAACAGAACAAGAGAGGAAAAGCAGCTCAGACATTGCATAAGAAGGGAAATGTCAAAGTTGCTACAAGCGCACATCCCACACTTTGTTTTCTAGGCTTAGAAAATGAAAGCAGGGATTTGGCGGTGTTTCCTGACAGTTGGCCAGTTCTGGGCAGGTCCAGATTCGACTGTCACAGACGGGCGAATACCCCGTGGGCTGTTCTTCCTCCTACAAAACTGGCCCGTGATCAATTCATTGTCGATGGGTTTTATTTTCCTATAGTAATGACAAAAACCGCCTCCCCTGAGCTTTTGCCACACCTAGAGAGACCCACTGAAGGACAGCACGGGCCAGGCTCCTACAGCATCACCAGGTTACATGAGACCCATTTGGGTTGCTGCACTTGGGGTTGAGAGAGGTAAAATCCATGATCTTTACTCATTTTAAAAATATGTGTCATTTACAATTCCTTTAGTAATTACATACATATTTTAATTGCACATATAGGAAAAATAAAAACTATTGTTAAAGAGATAACTTTTTAACAATGGTAAAAAGTATGGATTTTTAAAAAAAATTCACATTGTCTTCAGATGTTTGACACTGTTGTACATATTGTGACATCAATCCAAAAAGATTCTTGCTTGATAGCTTTTTCCACTGGTTTTGGTTCTAGGTGTCATCTCTACCCTTCACTTCTACTTTTTGGAATTAAACCACTTTCTCCTAATTTAAAAGAGTTGTTTTCCAAATGTCTTTAAAATGATTCTTGAAATTAAATTTCATTTCTAGAAAACTAATTTTCCATAATATATACAATTTATTTTACTCATTACCTTTATAATCTAACTTTAAAAATAGGTAATATAGCTCCATGGCTCAAACTTTACACAACTGTGAAATAGGGCGTAGCCTGGAAAGCCATCTCTCAGGCCATACACCAGCCCCTTAGCTTCTGCCACAGGAAGGTGATGTCGCTGGTTTTGGTTCATTCCCTGGGGCTATTCCAGTAAATGTCCTACATACGCAGCATTAGCATCCATGGTCTGAATATCTGTGTGGCTCAACCCAATTTCTGCAATTCTCCTAAAATTTCAGTTTTTTATGGTTTTGATAGGAAGTGGATTGATTCCCAGTGCAAGGAGGTGGCACCTGGAGAAGTGACTACATAATGAGGACTTTAGAGATCATAATGTAAAGTATGGATGAGAATGACTGGGGCCAAGTTGAATGAGTGAATCATGGGGGCATAGATGTGGAGAGTACATGTGGCTCCTCGCGCTCTCCTTCCTCTTTCTTTCTGTTCTTCTTTCTCTTTCTCTCTCTCCTCCCTGAGTAGCTCTCCTCCATCACTCTCTTCTGCTGCGATATTTCTGTCATGGAGCCAGCTGACCATGGTCTGGAACTGCGAGCAAAAAATAAACCTTTCCTCCTCTGTGTTGTTTTTTCCCGGTGTTGTCATAGCAACACAAAGCTGACTGACACTATTAGTATAGAAGCAAATGTGCATCCATCGCTCCTCACAGCCCCAGTGGAGAGAAGTGGCAGGGTTGGGTACATCCCAATAGGCTGCCTGCACACAGGCAGACAGGGAGGGGGACCCACCATCACCTATGTGGCAATCAAGATGACCCATGCTAAGAGAGGTTATCCTGCATCCTAACAGGATAAACTCTCACCACCCTAGTCGTTGTGTCTCAAGAATGCAGCCTCCTGGGGTCCAGCTGGATATGCAATGCAATTTGGAACAGTTAGTGGGATTTGTGGGACTTTCTGTCAACTCATCAAGGAAAAAACCTCTTAGTTACTACCAGGTGCCAGGGGAAGTCTAGGGGAATTGATGAAATAGAACAAATGAGTGGGACAGGAGATGGTCTTAGAAACTCATTACATATTTTCAGTAAGAACTTAACTGAAAACATTATGCATCAGAGGGTTTTATGTGCATGTTTGTGGTCTGGGAGACTGAACTCACGAGTTTTCACACTGAGCTACATCCCCAGCCCTTTTTTATTTTTTATTCTGAGACAGGATCTCGCAAAGTCACTAAATTGCCCAACGCTGCACTGAACTTGTGATCCTCCTGCCCTAGTCTTCCAGAGTGCTGGGGACACCTATGCGGTTTAGAATGCTGAAAGTCTTGAATACCTAGGTCATTTGAAGTTCACTTAACAGATAGGGAGCAGGGTCAGGATCAGTACTTGCTTACAAGAAGAAAGCTATTAGCAGAAGTATACATGGTGTGATTGAAGAGTAGAGTGGGTGTTTAAACTTTTTAAAACGTATTGCAGTAAAGACACATCGCCATTAATCCTCTCTCAAAATAGGCCCTTCAAACACACCTATCCCATAGTTTCTGCCACATTTGGAAGCAGTTCTGGAAGTCTTCTTTCGTAAGTGTTTAATTGTGCTTTTATGAATGTCTCCATGTTCTGAATCAATTCAAAATGTTTCCCTTTCATGGCCATTTTGACTTTGGGAAGAGCCAGAAGTTGCATGGGGCCAGATCGGGTGAACAAGATGGATGAGGACAGATTGTCGTCTTTTACTGACGCTGCATTTCCGCATTTTCACTGGATGACCCGCGGCAGCAGCATTCGCCAGTTTTGATGTCACCTTGTTAAACACACTCACAAGAGGACTTCCTGAACAGCTTCAGAAAGTGGCAAGAACAATGGGATCGGTGTATTCAAAGCAGAGGATCTTAAGGGGATTAATGGCAAAATGTTTTTCCTGAAACATACTTTTAAATTGAAACACTAACTGTATATTTCAGACAGCCCTTATATACTGCATAGGCTGGAGGATCATAAAGGAAGTCATTAGGACAAGGGTAAAGCAACCACACTGGCAAGGGAAATTATCCTTATGACCCCCGGATTCTAAATTCCTAGAAAGAAGACTCCTGAATTCCTCAGGTTAGAAGATCCTTAAAGGAGTCACAGATATTCCAGACTTTCAGTCTTGACTTCCTTCCTCAAGGGCTTGCTAATCTGAAATGCAAGCTTGCTCGAGGAAGGATGCTTGGTGTTTAATTTATAATAGGGTAATGGTCCTATTCCTTTTCTAGAAGGGTACCTTAGGGCACATTTTGTTATGAAGAAAAGTGTAACCCACTGTGAGATCCTTTGGAGAGAACACAGGGCTATCCTAGCAGCTCCTTTTTGCAACATCGGCCGCACTGTAAGGCGTGTGTGCAGTCAGGGTGCTCACAGCTGTGAGAAGAACAGGCTCAGAGTGAACCATGCAAAACTAAGGACCAAGGCTCCTCACAGTTTCTCCGATTCATGAAGAAGCATGGGGGCCACCGAGGGATTTCACCTCAGTGCTGCAATCATCACACGAGTGAAGGTCACACCAGGGTGGAAGGGAGGTGAAACAGGCTGCGTGAAGTACCTGGAAATTACCGAGTAAGGTCATTCCAAAGGAAGCCAGGCACAGCGCCACCAGTCCGCTAATGTTCAGCCACGGGTTTAAAACCTTTGGTTTCAGTTGTATGAAGCGCAGAACAGCTACTACCAGGGCTAGGAATAAAGCAAAAATCTTAAAATTATAAAATTTAAACCAGACACCCAGTCTGTGAGGCAGAGTTCTAAAGCCACAACATGCAAAATTAAACTTCCGGCCACTGTATAGCTCATGACCCTGCAATGACAGGCAGTTTTTTACAGAAACTTTCCATGTGGTGCACTGGAGGATTTAGGTGTTGGGCCACACAGCGCTGGGGGAGCACAGAGCAGTCTGTGAGGGCCCCAGAGTGACATGAAAGTGACAGGACAGCAGGGAACAGACTGGCTCTGAAACAGCGCAGGGCATGGCACATTACACACACAATGGGCTGAGGCAGAGTGCAGTTGAGAGTTCACTAACTTAGTCACACTTTAACTCAGAATGGGGCAGGAAGATGTAGGAGGGAGGACCGTGCTGGGGATGAGAGAAGGGAGAGAAGGGAAGCAGGGTCCCTTCTGGAGGAGTCAGACCCCTCTGCCCTGGACTCTCCCAGTGTTGTTCAGTCCAAAAGCAGGGCCAATCCAAATTAGGGCAGTTAGAGTGGTCACAGGTCTGCAACCTGTATTTTAACACAGCACATTTGGGGGTAGAGGTGACAAATACTACTTATACATCAAGAAATTCTTTCAAATGATAATTAACTATTCATTTTTTAAAATTTATTTTTGTGGCACTGAAGATTTTATTACTTCTTTAATAAAGAAATACTTTCATATTTATACCATAAGCTGAGAGCCAGTTAACAGTGATGAAAAATCATTTGAGACTAATGTAAATTGAATCTACAGTAAACAAATGTAGGTACTACTTCCTAAGATGCTTAACTTTGACATTAAGGTTTAGCAGGGAATTAGAAATTCAAGATTTACCTTATTTACATAGCAATTATGTTGATAATTATTCCATTTTAAGTTGGTAGTTATTCACTACTAACTATGATTACAGGCCCTTATCCAGAGCCATTAAAAAAAAACAAAAACAAAAACCACCCTATCCATAAAATTTCATTCCTAAGCATGCTGAGTTTCAAAACCTCAAGCTATAAATTAACCACTGTGAGCTGGTGTTCAGTTCCAAGTACCTCCTATCAGCAAGCGATACAAATTGGTTGATACTTGGAATTTGGAACCAAAATACAAATAAACCAAGATTTGAGAAATCTCAAATTATTCAGCTCTGATATAGTTTTTAGCGTATTTCAGCTAGAGCCCACTACTGATCACAAAATAAGTCAATTATACTTGAGTTGACAATAGTTTCTCAAACAGCTGGCTTGAGAGACCTAGTGAGGAGTTATATTAGAAGTCTGTTTGTGACTATGACTGTCCTAGAGGATACACAGGGTCTCATTAAATTTTAGTATCCACAGGAGATGGTGGCATACTTCAGTAACCCCAGCAATTGGGAGGCCGAGGCAGGGGGATTGCTGCAAGTTTAAGATCAGACTAGCCTACACAGTGAGCTTAAGGCCAGCCTGACTGCAAATGACCCTCTGTCTCCAAAAATAAATAAATAAATAAAACATAGGAGGTGAAAGGGGAGAGGACTAATTCAACACCTGTCACTGACACCAAGTGTCCACCAGATGAAGGGGCCATGAGATGAGGACTAGAGAGCTAGACCTGCTAATTAACTCTGTGTGGTTCTTAGGGAATAGACAAAATACCCAAGCAGCACATTTCATTTCTTTACAAATGACTAGTGAAGAGTGTTATTCTGGGAACTCTGCAGGCCGTTTGTTTTTGTTTGTTTCTGAGACAGAGTCTCACTGTGTAGGCTTGAACTCACAGAGATTTTCCTGTCTCCTGAACGCTGGATTATAGTCATGCGCCACCACACTTGGCTGGCCATTTAATTTTGTGAGGCAGAATTGAAATTTTGGTCCATGCCCTAAAGCCTGTCCCTGATATGGCTCCATCCAGCCAAGTGGTCTGCTCTTTTATGCACAAAGGAGGGAATTGATGGTCACTTTTCTGTGCTATCCATTTATCAGTCAACATGGGACATTGGGTCTTGGTTCCAGCAGTGTCAACCTTCCTATTTGTAATATAGGTGATATAGTTTCCATCTAGAATGTTCTCCAAAAGCCTCATGTGTGTGGAAGGTGTGGTACTATGCTCACCAGTGGATCCGTGGATGAGTCTAGGAGGTGGAGCCTGGTCAGAAGAGGTAGGTCACTGGGGAAGGCTGTATCTCTCCCTGGCTCCTCCCTTCTGTCTGCTTCCTGGCTGCCATGATATGAGCAGCTTTCCTCTACCCCAGCTATTCACCCATGCTTTTTCGGCCATGGCGCCATTGACCATTAACTGAAACTTCTAAAATTGTGAGCCAAAAAAAGCCTCTTCTCCTTTAAGTTGTGGGGGCTGAGTATTAAGTCTCAGCGGTGAGGAAAGTGACTAAGAGAATGGGTGACAAATCGCGTTATCATGAACAGGTGATGACCTGTTCACACAGGAAGACAGTAATTCAACCTAGTACTCCTAACTTTCAGAACTGCACACCAAACACCACTCTTTGTCCTTTTTATCTATCAACTCTATGATGCAACACTTTCTTTTATAATAAATTCTAGATAGCAGAATGGTGGAACTGAAGAAGATGCAGTTCCTACAATAGTTTTATCCAACTATTAGGTTTGAATGGAGGCAGATTCAGACCATATGTTATGAGGCCCACATTTGACCAAGTCGGATTGATTTATACCTTCCTGAAAAACTGGGCAGTGGACAAATTTCAAAGGTATCTTTGTATGTGCTGACTGGCTTTTACCAACTTACTTTTTGATCAATAGATATACTTTGTAGTTCCATTGAAATTTTAGGTTTTATCCATGGCTGGCTTTAGAAAAGGTTTTAAAAACCAATCTTCTGCTATTTTTGGCATGTATGATAGTTCTTTGCTATCCAACTGTCCCCTATTTAATCTTCCTGTTTTAAAGAGAGCAGGTAGGAAAACTGCTAATTTTTTAGATTAAACTTATTATTATTATTTTTTGAGATTGCCTGGGTTATTAAAGTTCGAGACTCAGACTCGGATTTCTTCACTGCAGATCTGAACTAGTGCCTGGCCAAGTTCTTTCTTGTTTTATTTAGCTTTACTGTTTATGCATCAGTAATTCCTATTTACGACTGCAGTACAACACACCAGTCAATATGTTTTGGCTGATGGAAGGAGAGCAGCCGCAATTAGGTGACTGAAATAATTCAGCTATTAGCTTTATCCTCACAATCTCCCCAGGGCAGGAAATAATCTCCCTTTCAAGGAATTTGTCTTAGGTCCTTCCACCACCCCCACCCCAACTCCAGGGGAATGGAAAAGTATGGATTCATGACAAAGAGCAGAATGAATTCTTTAAAGAAAATAATTGAGCCTTCAATCTTTGATTACCCTGTCAAAAAGATAAAAGATCTTTGCTAACTAATTTTAATAAATGCTACCCTCACTCTTTTAGGTTGTAAGTTAAAATCCCTACAGCTGTCCAAAACCAGTGACTTATATGCAGCATGGGCTATTTCTTAAAGCCAGCTACGTAATCTAAAGTAATAGTCTAAGGTCTAAGAACAACAGGCCTGGAGGAGGGGGATGTCCATTGTGCAGAACAAGAATCTTTAGTAAATGGATTCTTTTACACTCCCCAAGTTGATAAATAAATAATTGCTGGTCTGTTCCCATTGAACACTAATCTTAATCAGCTTTGTGTCTACCAGATGGTGCTTGAGATGATGAGAGATAATAAAGACTAAACACTGGGTGTCGCAATGCCTTCCAGCAAGCACTGGTAAAAGCTTAATTGCTTCTCAGTGGAGCACAAAAAACTAGAGAATAAGATGAGGACAAATGTCATCTGGAAGGGGGGAACTTGCTTTCATTTCTTTGCATTGGAAATGCTTTTATAATCAGTTAACCACAAGCTTTATAGCTAGATAAATTCATGAGCTGTACAACTGGATGTTTTTTAGAGAATGCACAAAAGACTACTGGGAAATATTAATTTGTCTACAGAAGACAAAGGGATGACTATGTAGCTTCCAGCATGTTCACGGGCTTCTTTAAAGCCTCTGAGCTTTTGCAGAAAGGCAGGCTCCTACCGATGGTGATTAAGGAAGGTGGTTTCTACAGCACTTAGCCTTGTTCCTGGAATAGAAGTGGTGCTATTAATTACTGTTCCTGCTCCCCGTGGGATGATCAGAGGAGGAGGAGCCAAGCTGCGGGCCGTGCTGAGGCTGTGGGGCTTCTGCAAAAGACCCTGACCCTGCATTTCAGAGTCCATGGGTGAAGCGTTGTGCTGTCACTTGAAAACATTCCCAGGTAGCCACAGATGCCCTGGTATGAAGAGGCTTATGCATTTTTTTCAGAACAGCTAGACTAGAAAAAAAAAAGGGGGGTGGGGTGGGGAAATAAAGCAATCAGGTTGAAGGCAACGGGAGAAAACTTGGTTGACCAGAGCCAACGCTAGTCTCACGATTGCAGTGGCTGCTGTGAGTGACTCCTTAGCAATCCTCATGTGTACCAGAGACGAGAAGCCCCCGACTCACAAGGGCAGGAAGAGAACAGGTGCTTCAAGGAGTCAAGAGTCAGCAAGCCTAGCCCCAGGGAAATCAGCGTGTCTGGTGTTCCTGTGGCAGTCGGTGGCTCCCAGACACCTCCTACTAAGGGAACCAAACATACCGTGGGAAGACTGGGAGAGAGAGTCACTAACAAAAGCACTCCAGTTCAGGGATGAGCGTCCTTCACCTCAGAGATACTCCCCCTATGTTCTCCGCGGTTCTCACTTCTTGCACTTTCAGAATCAACTAAGATCCTGCTTGTGTGGCATGGGTGACCAAGAATCTCCCCTGATTTTCCAGTGAGTTCTGTAGGTCTTTCCCTTGCCATGGCCCACACAGAAGAAAATACAGCAAGAGGAATATGGCTGTTCCTTGTGATTCTCAATTGGACTCGATAAAGACTGGTAGATCAAGAAAGCATGCTTCTGGGCGTTTATGGGGGTGGTTCCAGAGATGACTGACGTGTAGGTCAGCAAACCGAGGGGGAAAGACCCGCCTCATTGTGGGTGGCACCAGCCAATGGCCTTCCAGTGTGGATGGAAGGAAAGGAGGAAGAAGTCGGCTGGTGTTTGAAAAGCTCCACTCTGCGTGGGCAGGCTTGTTTTTTGCTGCTCCCATCACCTGAAGACTTCAGACTAGCTTTTCAGCATTCAATGTAGACTCATACCAATGATGTCTAGAGAGCTTCCAGGCCTTTGACCTTGGACTGGAGCTGTGTTCTTGATCCCTCTTGTTCCGCAGCTTCCACCTTGTTAGACTGAGCTGGATTCTCATGATCTCCAGCCTGAAGAGCTCCATGTGAACTACCCCACCTCTGATTGTGTAAGCCTGTCTGGTCATTTTTAAAATTGATTCTGTTTCTCCAGAGAACTCTAACCAATACAAGTGGGTAGGTGGTTCATGGGGGGAGGGAATCCCCTTAAAATGAAACAACAGGTCACCTTTTTGGGAGACAGGTACCACAAAGTCTGAATGCCCCCTACTAATAACATCATATTTATTTCCTGCTTGGAGTGGAAGCCTTTCCATCCAAAAGAACCATTTCCAGAAAACCACTGGGGGGAGGTTGAGCTGTTACTGCCCCCTCTCGGTGGCAAGCCAACAGGGACAGCTGTATGGGCCTTAGAAAGACATGGTGGGGAGAGAGTTCTGAAGATGGCGGCTTGATAGGTAGCAGGGTAGAGATCCTCTCTGAAGAAAACAAGTCAGATGCTAGAATTTAATAACATGGAGAAGACCAGATGAAAGAAGAGGGATTCTAACGACCAAGGAAGAAACTGAGGAAAAAGAAAAAGAAAGAAAGGAAGGAAAAATGTGGATGAAACGCTGGAACCAGATGTGCTCATTGGGACTGGTCGTGCACTATGCTGGGAGTGCTGTGGAATTGGGACGATTCACGGTTCACTGAAGCCCTGGCCTCCAAAACTGGGAGTTAGTGAGTCCAAGGCCTTTGGCGGGAGGACACGGTGCAGCGTAGAGTGGAGCCAAGGTGGAGAGCTGTATTAATTTCTCAGTGAGTGCTGGAAATTGGGTCCTGCGGCAGGTGAGGCTGGCTGGAGGACATACTGAGTTGGGCAGGATAGGCCTGAACCCAGAACAGCAGCAGCATCAATCAGCTGCCCCTGGACCAGAGAGGACTGGTGGGACCTGCTTGGGCTGAGTCACGCCCCTGGTCGGAACCCAATAGCACAGACTAAGGTGCTGAAGGCACTCGCCCGTTGACTCGCTCAGAGAAGAGGGGTTAGCCCACAGTCCCTGTGTGCACTTCAGATAACAGCAAACTGGAGAAAGCAGCAAGCCCCCAGCCAGCTCGCTTTAGAAAAATCGTAAGCAATATGGAGAGGGCCTGAGACCTCCACCATACACCTACCTGTCTGAAAGAAACCAGAAACATGACAAGAGAAAGAAATAAGAAAAAGCCTCCAGTTGCTGACCATGGGAAAATAAGTCCAGGAGAGGTAAATACAGAAGAGATCCTGGGCAGCAATCATGTAATATTGGCAGACATAAAGAAATACCTATGTGACCTCATAGACGAACTTAAAACTGAAATTCTAATTCAAGTGAGCCAAGATATAAAGGATTAATAAAAGAAATGTTAAGCTCCTCTCAAGAAGACACAGATGGAAGAATGGAGGAATGCAGAAAAAGAAGAGAAACTTTTGGTGAAGATTATAAACAAAATCTAGAATACATGAAACAGATCCAAAGAGATTATCAGGAAATTAAAAACTCTATTGAAAGCTGGCGAAATGCCTTGACAGAAACTAAAATTAGCCTTTCAAAATTTGAGGATATATTTGCAATGTGTGATTGTGAAAGAAAAGACCTCTTAAAAATAAGGAACCAGAAAGTAACAATACAAAGGCTAGAAGATGACAAGAAGATCTCTAATTTAAGAATAAAAAATGTGAACAAAGAAGCAGGAGTAACCACAAATGAATTACAAAGGCTATTCACAGAAATAATTAAGGAAAACATCCCAAGCATAGGAAAAAGAAATGATATCCACATAAATGAGGTATACAGAACTCCAACCAACTACAACCAAAACAGATCTACACCCAGACATATAATAATAAAGATCCTAGAAATTCACCACAAGAACAAGAATATTAAAAGCAGTCAGAGAAAAGAAGTGGATTACCTATAAAAGAAAACCCATCAAAATAAAGACAGACTTCGCAACACAAACTATCAAATCAAGAAGAGTTTGGAGTGAAGTAGTCCAAGCCCTGAAAGAAAATAACCTCCAACACAGACTGATGTACCCTGAAAAACTCTCTCTCAAAATTAATGGAGAAACAAGCTGTTTGCAAGACAGGAACTGTGGGAGTTCATGCCACCAATCCAACTCCCCCAAAAATATTGAAGGGCATTCTAGAGAGAAATAGAAAAAAAATACCAAAATTCCAACAGTGGCAGAGAGGCCTCAATGAATGGGGCAGACAGTGGAATGAAGGATAAAAGTGGACAAATAACAGCAGAAAAATAGAATAGCAGAGATGAGGCAGAGAAGGTGGGCTATAATCTCTAATATAGATGGCCTTGATACACTAACAAAAAGAAACACAGGCAGAGTAGATCAGAAGATAGGACCCATCGAGATGCTCTGAATAGGAAATATACTCAACCTGAAAAAGGGTTAATAAACTGAAAGTCAAAGATGAGAAAACGATGCTCTATGTGACAGGGAACCAGAGAGAAATAGGGACAACTTGTCCAGCAGCCGTAGATAGGTTAGAAAGTTATGATACAGCTAGAAGGAAGGAAAACCGTGTGGCTTTAGTAAGTAAAGGAGTACAGCTTAAGATCAAGCTCAAGGGTAAAAAGGTTCAGCACCACTCAGATAACGAGTTGACCCCTTAATCTAAAAACTGAAGGAGGTAGTGGGACCCCAAATATACAAAGCATCCTGAGAAAGGGAAAGGGGAGGAATTGCCAAGAAAAAGAAGGCAGAGGACATTGTTAATAGTGTATCAGGAGTTAAAAGCCACATTAGTCTTATCACTCGGTTTGGTTTTATTTTGTTTTGTTCTGGTTTGTCTACTCATACCAGATTTGAGGGCACAGACAACTAACCCCAAAATAGCAGGATATACTATAGTAAATATCCTTAATTCCCTATTAACTTAAACTGAAGCCCTGTATTACTTATATTGTCTTACTATGATTGATCTTATCTGAAGCTGGTTTGTTAGACTGCTGTTTTGTCTTGACTGATTTTATTCAAATCTGGTATGCCCAAGTATCAAGTCTAAGAATAGAGGCAACTTACTCTGAAGATGACGAAATGTAATAAGATACCCATTCCGGTTTGATTGTTAACTACTTTTGAAGTCCAACAATGTCTCCAATGCTGTGTTTTTATTAATATTGCTATGTAATGCTATGTTCAATCATATTATGTCTGATAATGTAGCTAATTCTACTGAAAATAACAAGAGATAGCATAGCAACTACTGTAGACCACCTAATTTGTGGTTTTATATGTCTTTCTCGTTTCATGTTTTGCTAGGAATTTGTTTTGTTGTCTTTTTTGATCTGTTTTTCCCCATAATACAGAAAGGTTAGGTATATATGTAGAGATTCACACATGTGGAGAATTTCTAAATAGTTTACAGGAACAGATTGTATAATGCACAATGTAATGAACAGATACTCTGAAGAAGAAGAGACGCTAAGGTATCCAGTGCTAATTCTGTAGCATTATGATATAAAATCTAGCAATACTATTATTCACTGTTCAAAGTGATATTAGTCTAGTCTCTTATGTTTAATTTCAGCATACGTAAAGATATGGATGGTTACTTTGAAGAGAATGAGAGACATTATGGCACCCATTGTTGACTTCCCTAATGTCTGGTTTTGAAGACCTAAAAAGCCTTCATCATCCTGTTCTGATTAATTTAGTACTATAATGTTCAGTATGTATTCACTGTGTGTGAAGATGTGGACAACTATTTGGAAGAAAACAAGAGACAATATGATAGATAGTAAAGATCTCCACTGGACTTGCTTTGAAATCTGTGTTTCTTAAAATTGTTTCCTTATGATCTTCCTTATGTTTTGTTCTGTCTAATGTTACCCTCTTTAAAAAAAAAAAACATGGGGAGAACCTAGGTATGAGGAAATGATACACAAAGGTCAGAGAGAGCACAGTTGGTTCCCACCATCTGGAGGAACAACACACAAGTATTTCCAGAGCAAGGGGGCCCTGAGAAAAAGTGGAGAATTGGGACCAGCTATGAACACCACAAAGATTTTCTTCCTAGATGTCTTTGCTGTCTTGGTGTGTATACAGGCACAGGAGGGGGTGTCATTCTAATGTTAACATTGACCTTTACATTTAAATATGATAATGACACAACAATATTTGTCACAGAACCTATGCATTTTTTCATTTTTGCCAGTGAAGGACTAACTCAGACATTCTTTTCAAAGCCAAAGCATGGACATATTACATTCTCATGGAGGAATTCATGGTATGTGAAATATTTCATGCAGCAAAAGAAAGTTCAGAGTATGCAGAAGTGATAAAAGAAGGGAAAGGGGGAAAGAAAGCAGGGTGAACATAAAAGGATTTAAAAAAAAAATAAACCCTTAAAACAAAAAGCTGGCTTGAGCATATTGACATGGAATAATACCAGCATATCTGCTAGATCTACCATTGTTTTCATGTGGTAGAGAATTTAAAATAAAAAATAAAAGTGCATGAAGCATTCTTGATGCTGTCTTACCTAGGAATGCTGCCATGTTCATAACCTGACTGAACACACAGCTGGCAGGAGGATCATCACCTGCAATGCTTGAAAAAATGAAATTTTTGTAAGTACTATATGAAAATCTGGTAGTCTTTCCTAAGGCCCAATGGGGCAGGCAGGGATTATCAGGTTACCTTATATAAGGTGCACGCTTCACACCAGGTTTCCTGGATAGTAAAAAACACAGGAGTGCAGGTTAAAGCGTGCGCACACATCAGTTTAATCTTGCCAGTGGCAACCTTTCTGCTAAATCTATGCATGAACAATGAATTCTCCAGAGATCAACTTTACCTTTCAGCTGAATTTAATGGCAAAATTTTGTCATCTTCCACAGCTATAAAGTATCTGTGAAGAAATGACATGTTTATAAGAACAAAGCAATTTAAAAACAAAACAAAACAGAACAACTCCAAGAAGCATTTGTTTCCTGGTTCAATTAGCCTAACTGCACTAAGTCATAATCAATCTTTTCTGAGGAGATAGTATAATTCTTTACCCATAGATTAGCTTTTTGAAGCTCAAATGTCACTATTATATTTGCTTAATTTTCTTTTTTTCCCCCAAAATGCCAACAACATTTTTCATAAGGATTAACATTTTTATTCTTACATTTCTTTAAAAATACAAAGGACTCAGCATAGTCTAAACAACCTTGATACAAGAACAAAATTAGAGCTCCAACCCTCCCCAATCCTATGATTTATCACAAAGAACATTGCCTTAATTTTCAAAACACCACCAAAATTAATGGCCATGATTATAATCTGAAAATTGGAAAGTGAGGAAATAAAACCTTACAACTTTGAACAAAATAAATTATAATTTAGTTTCTAATTTCTCAGGAATATATGTTCGCCATTTTTCACGAACTTCAAGGGAGTAAAGTAATTCCCTTCGAGTGAGAATTACTTGAAGTAAGCAAATGTGTAAACATTTTTGTGGTAAGTCGGGACTCCCAATGTAATGATTTTCATTTTAAAAACATATCAGACCTTGTCATGAAGTACTATACTATATGAACTAGAGTGGGAATAGAATACACAACATGCCTGTGCCAGATAAAAACATCTTGCAAATAGTGAATTCATCTAACCAGCTGAGAAAATGCTCATTACAAGACAGGTGAACACAAAATTATCAGTATGCTTCACTATCTGCTTGCTTAATTTATTAGTCTTGCTATTTGCTTTGAATGCTAAAAGACAAGAATTGAAGTGGGCACTTTGGCAAGATTGAATTAGTGGATACACTAAAATATTTGTAAATCCATTCATACAGATGCTATACAAACAGTATCAAAAGCGTTATCTGCATTGCACCTGAACTGTGAAGTCATTGAGGGCATACTCACACTATCCACAGCCCGGCTGAAGTAAACAAAGTGAATACAAGTGGTAGAAACATCCAGACACTGCATTTCTTCCCATCCATGCCTGCACTGCTGAAATGAAATGAACAGGCATTAATATGATGGCACAAATCTACTCCACTCTTTCAAGATGGAAAAGAAGTCCAACTGCGGGGTTGGGGTGAGTTATTTTATGAAAGGATGATTAAAACCAGTGTCATCATGCCACCTACTCAGGTGGAAAATCTTTTGGACAACTAAGGGATTGTTATCTAGCATTAGTTTAAAGATTCCAATCTTAGCTGTGACTTGAAGGGAAATTTGGCACAATGGAATTGCATCACTACTCTGGGCAGATTGTTATTTAGATTGTTATTAAGTAAAATAAGCATTAGCTGAAAACTGCACTGTGCTAGTCTGATACCTGGGATGACTACTGGGTAGGCAGGCTGTAAATAGAGCATAGACACAGCAAACACAGGACAATTCAAGTCCTGGGCAAGAAAGAGCAAGAGGACGCAAGATTTCATCACACTGTGTGGAACAGCATACAATTAAAACATATAGAGTGCTTATTTCAGGAATTTCCCATTTAATGTATTCAGGCCATGGTTGACTGCAGGTAACAGAACCATGGAAAGAAAACCCGAAGATAAGGGGTTTGCTCTAAAAGGTACCATCTGAAACAGGTGTCCATGGCTTTCTAGTTACTATAATGCAGAAGAATGGTGGATATCTTAAATGTACATAATATGGCCAGTCAGTGCCTCTTCACTCAGCTATATCTGCAGAGACATGGCCTTTTAAGAAAGAGATTAATTACACTAACAGAACAATGGCTTGAGTGGTGGCTCAGCGGGTAAACCTCTTATTCTAGATGGGCCACCGAAACAGATGCTTGGCCAGAATGAGTCACACTGGACAGGTAGGGGCTTGAGTTTCCAACTACAGCTTTACCAGTAACTGCTTCTTTGGTCTGGGTCAGCTACTTGTATCTGTAACGCTATCTACCTACCTCACTACGTGAAGATTGATGAATGCAGAGAGGCAGAAAAGCATCTTACACTGAGATGTCCCAGGATGGGAACCTTGGAGGCTAACCCACACACAGTGTTTTCTATCTCTATCTTTACGATGACAGAAAACTCCAGGATACTCCAAGTTCTCATTCCTAGAGGAAACAAGAATCCTTTCCACCTGAGATGGGGGACAAAACTGCATGCCAGTGTATCAATGAAACAGATGGACAGATCATCTCTTGGCTTCTCTTTTAGGATTGTCTCTGTGGGAAATCAACATTTGGAAGCAGGGAAGTAAATGAAGAGTTCATAAGACATTCCTAAAGCTACAGCAATGAACTAGGCTCGTTCTCTGACTTTCTGCAAAGAGAGATACTGGGGGAACAGAAATGTCCAGCAAGGTATAGGACTGACACACAGCCCTGTTGCTTCAGAACTGTGTGACCCTGGTCAAGTCTTTCCATTTTGTAAGCCTCCGACAAACCACAGAGATGACTTTCATACTGCAGGACTGTGCTGAGGACTACACAGGTAAACACAGTACCCAGAACCCATGTTGTTAAGAGTGGCGACTGTGACTGTCCAGAGGATTCATTCCTGTGTTGGGACAAGGCCCCCGGGTAGGGCAAGGCTTGGGAGACCCTAACACTTTTTTCTCTGGGTTCTCAATTTTCTAGAAGCTTTTCTAGAAATGTACGAACACACTTGAAAGCAACAGTGTTCTTCAAGTGGCTTTGCAAAAAATTACTGTCCTAGCATCTTAATATTGAAGGGCTACCTTCCTGAGCTTCTACTGGCTTGCTATTCATCTTTATGTACTACTGGGTTTTTTTTTTTTTCTTTCTTGGTATTGGAGATTGAACCCAGGACCTTCACATTGCACTCCAGCCCTAATACCCCTCCTCACACACACCCTTTTTTTTCCCCCAAGACACAGTCTTGCTAAGTTGGTAGACTGGACTCACACTTGCAATCCTTTGGCCTCAGCCTCCCAGAGTGCCAGAGTGCTAGGATTACAGGTGTGTACCACTATGCCCTAGTTGCTCATTTGCTTTGTTTTGGAAGCATCTCAAATTGTTTTATTTTTACTAGTTTAACTCTCATAGGGCAACCTTAAGTCCAAATTCTGGGAAGACTATACTCAATCCTTGCCTAGTGACAGATTAAAAAGAGAGCATCTAAGAGTGACTCTGAGCCTGCAATGCTTCTTCAGGGTTTCTTATGTCAGTTATGCTTTGCTTTCTTCCTTCTTCCTCTCGCTCTCCGTCTCTCTGTTTTTTATTTTGTTAGTTGTAAACTCACATACAGTTGTAAGATAGCACAGAGAGATCTGGTATCCCCTTCGTGGGCTATTCCTGATGGCAATTTCCTGCACAATCACAGCATAGCATCAGAGACCCAGAGACCAGCACTGATACAACCCATCAACTTCACCCAGATTTTCCCAGTTTTATGCATACTCCCTTTGTGTATTTAGTTTTGTATAATTTTATCACTTGTGTAGATTGATGTGACAATGTTTATTGACCCTTTATCTGTCTATTCAAATACTGTGCATATTTTCAAGCACGGTTGCTACTGCTGAGTTGTAGTTCTTTACAGATATGGATATTAATCCCTTACCAAATATGAGATTTACAAAGTTTTCTCTCATGGTGTAAGTTACATTTTCACTTTATTGATAGTGTCATTTGATACACAAAAGTTTTTAATTTTGATGAAGTACACTTCATTGATTTTTTTCTTTTGTTGACTGTCCTTTGATATCCTAGCAAGAAATCCCTTCCAAGTCCAATGCTATCTTTCCCTTCTGTTTGTATCCAAGAGTTTTAAAGTGTTTGTTCTTCCCATTTAGGGCTTCAGTCGATTTGAGTTTTGTATATATGATACATTCAGTTTTATATGTAAAGATCCAGAGCCATTTATCTAAAAGATTATGTTTCCTCATTGAATGACTTGGCATTTAACAGGGTGTTTTGTGAAGCAAACATATTTACTTTCAAAAAGAGCCAAACTTTCCTTTTATAGGTCATGCTTTTGATGTCAAGCCTAGGAACTCTTGGCCTAATCTTGGTCCTTGAAGATTTTCTTCTGTGTTATCTTTTAAAAAGATTTATAGTTTTACATTTAAATATGTGATCTGGCTTTATCTTTTCTAAACATAAGTGTTTACTGTCTTACTGAATTTGGCCAGATCCTAGGCAGTTTATAAATTCCTTTGGTGAGGATTGGGAAACATGGGAGGATCTAAGTCAGACTGCTGCAGTAGAGGCAAATTTTTATGCTGAAGGACATAAGCCATGGCCAAGCTATGCACTTCCATGCCAGCTTCTTCAGGGAGCTGGCAGCTGAGGTGTGTGTGTAATTGTGTGTGTGTGTGTGTGTGTGTGTGTGTGTGTGAAGCTTCTGGACCTACTCCATCTCCCCCTACTTTTGCTCTGCAGAAGGCCTATTAAGGACCAAGACTATGCAGATCAGCAGATCACAGTGAAAAGCTCTTTTGGAACTGTTTTCTGCTTTTGTTAATGTGTTGGTGTCCCATCTGTCAGATCTTCATATTTCTGTTTCTTTGTCCCTCCCTGGTGAGAGCATGTTAGCTAAAGGAGACTGTTATGTATACTTCTCTTTCTGGTCTTAGAGACTCTGTCCTTTAGCCCATATGCAGCTTATTATGTGACCAAAGAACCTGAGGCTGTTGGTGCTAGAAGTTTGTAGAGGCACCAGGTGATGAACAGGACCAACTCTGAGCTGCCCTGGTTTGACAACTTCAGATAATGCACTTGACCGGAAGTACCTCTGTAAAGAATAAGGGGAAAGGTCTTTTAAACTAACTCTCTGGCCTTTGCCTCACTGTGGCCTAAGAATTTAATTTAAACCTGGTATCCAGGTGTGGTGGCACATGCCTGTAATCCCAGCACCAGGGAGACTAAGGCAAGAAGATGTCCATGAGTTCAAAGTCAGCCTGCACTACATAGTGAGACTCTGTCTCAAAAAACCACCAACAATAATAAAATAAAATAAATAGTTAACATTGTGAGATGATTCTTTTCTTTTCTGGAAAGCAAGAGACTGGGCTCTTGCTTCCAGTTGCATGAAAAGTGTCACTCAAACTTGACTTAGTGTTCCAGCAAGGATGAGTTCCAGTCTTCCCAAGTGAAATAAACAAAGAGCACCCCACTAGGAGAGAATATTTTTTCTGGTCTCCTGGAGGAAAGAGGGAGACAAGGAAGGAGTACCCCACACTCCAAGAGTTTAGTCTTTGCATTCTGAATTAAACTTTAAAAGAATTCTATGTGCTATTTGCTTTATTAATGCTAATCTTCCAGTAATATTACCTGACCAGAAGTGTTCCTGTGTCCTATGGCTGTGTCTGGAACCATGTCACTTGATGAGATTCTGACAAAAGGTGGAAAAGAGCCAGCATTGTGTCAGCTCTCTTGAAAGGGTCTGGCACTAGTATTTGGTGTGGGAAACTCTGCTCCACATGGTCTTATTTATCCCAATGACTTGCAAAGCTGGTATCCAGATGGGCAGATCTTCTCAGGCAGCTAGTACTGCCGACTCAGTACGTTTCCACCCAATAGATATGTTCTTCTCCCCCAGCATCTGTCACCCTCCATGTCTGAGTGACCTTCCCTCTCTGCATGTGAGCGTACATAGTGTGGACTTGTGAGTGTACATACGTGTGACAGCAACAAATCCACCCCAACCCCACCCCACCATTTCTTCCCTGCTTCTTATGAACTAAGCAGAACAAATGTGCTGGCTTCTACCATAGAATTTTTTACTTCTCTGAAAGTCTTTAGCGGCAAAGGGCCCAAGAAAATGTATTCTTTCATCATGCAAGCTGAGACGTGGCAGAGTCCATAAGAACCTGTGACCTGCACCCATAAAGGGGGTCTTGATACCGCCACAGTCGTGCCTATTCATAGTTCTCTTACTGAATTTCAGGGAGTTCTGATGTAAATGAATGAAGCTGCCAAAGTCAAAGAATACAGCACCCTATCACCGGCCTCAGTCCTTAAAGACAAGCTTTTTATTGTATCAAGAGACAGTGAAACACCTCTAGTCTGC